TTTTTTTGTTTTGTTCCCAATTTCAAAGTTTAATTTATAAAAATATTGTTTCTGATTTGGCCAATTTTTTTTTCTCATATTATCATTGTTATTGGATGAAACTAACACATTTTTTCTATATTGGGTATATATAAGGGTGGTTAATGTTTCAAATATCATTTCATCTGTTTAAAATGAATCTGATCTGAATATTTCTGGGACAGTGAAAAAAATTCATCTTTCACATCCATACATAGTCTCATCATCATTATGATTATGATTTTGAACATGGTTTCAATTCTCAATATAGTCTTGTCTTTAAGTTTCTTTTCAATAAATCATTATGCCAAAAAAAAGATGATGAAAAATTCAATCTTGAAATAGAAATAAAATGAAATGGAATAAAAGATATGTGTTTTTTTTGAATAAAAATAAAACAAAACAAAAAAATACCTATTTCCATCTATTCAAGTGTAGCATTTGAATTGTTTTCGTAAAAAATGGAATAAAAAATATGGCAATTTTTTGTGGGGTAAACAAAAAAGAAAGTGATATTACTTATATGATGATTATGATTATCATCATTTTCATTATTGTCAAGTGAAAAGAACCAAAGGAAAAGATAGAGAGAAAATCAAAAATGTTCACAGATAAGCAAAGAGATGAAGAGAAAATGTCCAGAAACACATTTGTAAAGGTGTTTTTTTTGATGAACCATTTAAATAATGAAAATTGTCCTAATGATTGTAAAGCATAATACGCCCATTAATCAACAATCAACGATAACGACAACAACAACAGCAACAATCATCAAACAAATAATATTAAATAAAATGAGCGCGCCAAATATTTTAAAAGATGTTTCGAACGAATGAATATAAAAAAAATCGCATGAGAGAAACGAATAATTCGAATGATTTAAAGCGGGTAAAATGATGATACACCGAATGAGAATGGAAGAGGATGTTACAATGCAAAAAATAAGCAAAAAGAAGAAAGTCAACAATGATAGTGAGAGTGATTTCAAAAATGTAGTCAAGAGAAAGTGAAATTTTCTTGATTCACATTTAAAAAAATTATTTTTTTTTTGAGGTTCCAAATAAAAATTCATTCATTCATTTCGAATCATTCGGTTTGTTATTCGTGTTTGAGTGTGTGTGTGTGACCGGCTAGACATTATGCGTGTGTTCCAGAAATTGTATCGCAAAACGACAACAAACTTTCAGTAACAAACAACAGTGTCAAATGATATGATTATCGTTTGTTTAATATATGTAGGTATATGTCATACATGTCGATGTTGGTGTGATTAAGATTTTGTGAAAAAAAAAAATAATGTTCAATCTACATTCGAAATAAAAAGACAATTCAACAGTTTATTACGATTCGTGATAATATCATTTTGAATTGAAAAAAATTGAAATATTAAACAAAAATTTCCGTTTTGTTTTGTTCACATCATCACCATCATAATATTTCGCACCTTGTGTGTGGCCTGTATTTTTTTTCTGTGAAAAAAAATGTTTTCATTTTTGTCATTCTCCCCTCAAATTTCATTCATCAATCACAAAAATAATCATTATCATTCAAAATAATCCAATATAAAAAAAAATTATTGAATATTTATCATTATCATCTTTTCTGTAAGTATAAAATTTTTAAGTCCGAAAAAAATTATAATGAAAAATTGATCGTTTCCGGTTCAATGATGAAATTATTGTAAAAATATTTGATGATCATTGAAGATGAACCAATCATAATGATTGTTATTGTCGGACTTCTATGTTTGCCAAATGAATTTTCCACTTAATTCTAACATTCATTCATATTATTATCAATCAATGTATAATGTTCAGTGAAATATTTTTCTTTGTATAAATGATTTTTTTATTGTTGGGATGATCATGATTTATAAAAACTCGGGAAAAAAAATTTCATCATGTTACACAGAAAACCTTCTCGTTTGAATTCGTTCATATTCGACTGGCTGGTTGGTTGGCTGGTTAAAAAACTATGAAGAAAAAAGAAACAATTTTTGTTTGCCTGAATATGAATGAACGAAAAAAAATGTATACATTTTATATACAAATGTTATTTTTTCCTATTTCATTCATCATTATTTCTTTCAACGAAACGGAACACACGATTACATTACCTTATCATTCATATTATGATATACCGTGATCAGCAGTGGCTGCTAAAAAACATCAATGACAACAATAACAACATCTAGTATTAACCGATAGCATGGATGTTGTCGATGATGATGTCGTTGATGATGATGATAATGATGAGGTCGTATTCATCATTCGAATTGGAAAAAAAAGGTTTTTTTCTCATTTCTAAAATAGAAATAAATACCGCAAAATGACATCCGACTCTCGTTAAAATTGTTATCTTGTAATTTATTTTTTTTTTTTCAAAGTGAACAACACCATTATAATGATGGGCGAACAAATGAATGAATTGTGGGCAAAAGAAAAAAAGAAATTAAAACAAATGATACATTATTTTGGTTCATTAGACAAATGAACTATTGAATTCATTTGGATTTGTCGAGAAAATCTTAAGGATTTCTTATGAAATTTTTTTTCCGAGTTTCATTTGAATCATTTATTTAAGCAATGAATCAATTAATCAATCAAATCGATAGTAATAACTCTTTAAAATCACAATTTTTCTTTGAATTTAATGACGATATACTTAATATTTGCCATTTTCTTAGCAATAGATGTTCGAACGAAAAAGACATTTTAAAAAATGGTGGGCTTTGAGTTGCTTTTTTCTTTGAACATTGTTTGAAAATTTATTTTATCTCACATCAACAAGACTTTTGACAATATAATCTTAAATATTCAAATTAAAAAACGATGAAAAGAAGATTGACAGAGTAGTTTTCGAATATAAATTCTAGCAACAAAAAAAAATTTCATATTCAATGATAATAGGTTAGGTTTGTCGGATGATAACCTAAACACCAATTTCATGCCAAATCAAATAATCAAAGTAAAAAGGTTTTTTTTCTTCCAGTTAAATTTAGATGCTACTTAACAATCGATATAAATTGTGTTGAAAATGCAATCCATTGATCAAACAATTTTTTTTATCATTCGATTTGATTTTTCAAATCTAGTTTTTTTTCATAAAAATGAAATTTTAAACTTTGAATTGAATTGAATTGTTGCATTTGAATAAAAACGGAAAGAAATTTCTTTCATTTTCAAATGATTATTATTTATCTATAGTTATCAGAATGGTGATAAAAAAATCACATCAAAAACAAATTGAAAAGTTATATGCAAATTTTTTTTTGTCAGAAAATAATTGTTCAATTGATGTCACCTGTATTGAAATGAACATGATAAAATTATGTGAAAATTTTACCATTGATTGTCGATGATGATGATCACATCATGATAAAAAAAAATCATCAATTTCATACACATCAAGTGTCAAATCAATCAACTTTATGATGATCATCAAAAACATGAAAATCAAAACAAATACTTTTCATTCTTCAATTCTTTGTAACGTTACAAAATTGAACAAATCAATATCCGTAAAAGCAGAATATATGCATTAAATTAGAAATGGTAAACAACTGTACACAATTACTTTTTTTTGAATAGTTGTTATCCGGTGGTCATTAAATTTCAGATCCTATCCTAAACAAACAAATTGTTATGGCTATGAAAATTATTTATTTATTTATTTTTTGTAGTAAACTTTTTTTCCGGCTGAACTAATAATGTCTGTAAAATAAAACAGGAAAAAAATTTTCTAATAGAATCAGATGAAATAGAATGATAATTGAATTCGATGATTGACAATGTCAAAGTCGAAGCCATCATCATCATCACAATAATAATGATATCATCATAATTTTTCTATGATTTTTGTCTCATTTTCATTGTCAATTGATTTTTTCTTCATAAAAAATGAATAATAATGATTTTAATGATTTAAAATTCACTTATGATTATGACAACATGATGACACTGTTCAATTTTTTGTGATATGAAGTGTACACAAAATAATGATAATGTAGAAAATTGATCGGCATAAAATTATTCAACGCTACATAATTATGTTGTTGTTGGAAAGAATTTCTTCTTGTTCGTTTATCATTTTGAATGTGTGTAGATCAAATCGATTAACGATATTTTGATGATGATCCTTTTGATATTCATAATGAATCTATGTACTTTTTTCCCTAACACTTCGACCACATGATAACGATATTGAGAAGATAATTTTAAAATCTTGTTCAAAATCGGAAATGATATTTTAACGATAAAAGTATCAATTAAAATTTAGTTACGATTTTCGAATTTTTTCCTTTTTTTTCTTTTGATTATGAAAAACTTCCGTAAAAAATATGGTAAATGAAAATCATTGATCTTTTTTTTTCTCTCACCCATATCCGGACAATTTGTTCATATAAAAATTTACATGATAATCGATACTAATTTGTTGTTTTAAATTTTTTTTTATAGGGCGTTTTCTTTGTCGGCAGTTACCATCATAATCATTTTTGGTTATTTACAACAAACAATTGATGTTATATATGACAAAAACGAAAGGATACGGTTTTCATTTTTTTTTTCATTTTCAGCTATATTACATTGTTTCATTTTGTTTTTGTTTGCTTATTTTGAATTGTTTCCGGAACAAAATATCATCATCGACCATCCATTGATCATAATCATCATATTATCAATTGATACGATTCATCAAAAGAAAAAACGAACAACAACAACAACAAAAATACCATATTTGTTTTGGAATCGAATGTTTCCAACGGGGTATATACAAAACAACAACAATAAAAAGTAAAAGAAAAACAAAACAAAAAAAAAGGAAATTTTTTCCCCAAAGAAAATTACTTTTTACCTACATTATTATTGATGAAAATGATGTCTATGAAAATCATTTCTTTATCATCCTTCTCGTCCGGTTCCAATCAATCATTTAATAATGATGATGATAATTATGATAATTATAATTATGAAAAAAATCGAGCTTTGATGATCAACAAGAACAACAATAGCAAAAATGGTCAACATAACCCTAATCATCATCATCATCATCAACATCATTGTCATTATCGATGGTGGTCAACAAAATCATTAGCCATAATGTTACTATTATTGGCCATTATGGTTGCATCTGTTGCCGGTATTTTATTCATAATTTACTTTCACTTTTAATAATTATTTTATTCATAACTTTTTTTCGTGTGTTTTTTGTTGTTGTCCATGTTTGAAACATTTATTTGCGTGACAATGAATGAATAACATTATTAGATTGTAGACTACGAAAGGTATGTCGAATCATTTTTTGCTGGTCTTTCCATACCTAATCTATGAATATTTTAAATTTTTATTTATTTCTATTTTTTTCTCGTTTGACTGTGAATTGTAGTCACGAAGATATCATAGGACATCAATGAATCGAAAAAGTAGAGGTGTGGCAATAAAATTCACTTGTTCAGGACGTCCATTAGGTTATTATGCTGATCCAGATTTTGAATGTCGTATATTTCATATATGCGATAATTTTGGCCGTCGTATTCCAATGCATTGTCCACCGCATACAATGTTTAATCAAATGTATCGTGTTTGTGATTGGGATTATAATGTTGATTGTCCATCATCTAAATCATGGTATCATGTTAATTCAAATAATCATGGAAATACAAATGAATCAACGGAGAGAGCTGCTGCAGCATCGGCATCATCAAAAACAATGATACAATTTCATTCAACAACCACAACGACACCATTAAATCTAAATGATCATTAATCCGTTGATTCTCTAATGTTTTTGATCGGGTGATTTTTTTTTTGACTTGGACATAAATTACCCGAAACAAAACGATTATTCATCAATCTGTGGATGTATTTTTTTCATCAATTATTTAATTATTAAATTCATAATCTTATTAACGAATGTAATTTTCACAACAAAGAAAAACCATTTTTATACTGTACATTTGTCATTTTTTTAACAGTGTCAAAACAAAAAGCACTTTTTAAAATTTGTTCACCACATTTTATTATTAAATTAAGTTTCTTTGATTTTATTTAAAAAATTTAAAATAATCAAATCATTTTGATTCGAATTATTATTGTAATCGATTTTCGTTCATTGACAGTGAAAAAAATGAATAACCCTTATGAAAAAAGATTAAATGAATTGAAGTTATCATATGTCAATTCTCTTGAATTGAATCAAATATCGAAACAATTCATCGCACATATAAATCGAATAAAAAATCTTGGTCAAATAATTTTTTGTAATATTTTCGAATCATTCCGTAATACGATTCAAACGGATAATTTGATACCGATTCCATGTTCAGTAAAAGAAATGGCTGAAAAAATACGGAAAACATCAATCGATCAATGGTCGATAATAAATCCATCATTACAATGCTATCGATTGGATAAACAGCCACTGTTTTTGATGGATTGCATTCACATCAATATCAATGAAAGTATTGTTAAATTGATTGAACAAATTTTACCCGTTATGATCGATATTGACAAAGATATTGATCGTGTTCATTATGCATTACAGTTAATAATGCCAAAATTGCGTGATGGAGAATATGTAGCCATTGATTTACTCGAACAATTGATGGAACAAATTGAATCGTTTCAATACGAAATTCAAACGGGTAATGTTTTTTTTTTCATTTCAAAACAAAAAAATATTTTATTTTATTTTCATTATTATTGAGCATGAAAAGAATGAAAGAAAAAACTCATTTCCTATTCTTTTTTTTAATATGTATTAAATTATGATTATCATCAGCATATGAATGGCTGATTAGCTATAATGAACGAAGAGCTAATCGAATCGTCAATATTATCCGTTATAGTCATATTGGTGATGATCGAATCATTTTAAATCGATTCGATAAAGATTGTTTAATCATGTTTCATAAAATTATTGACGACTTATATCGATGGTCAACATTAATGTATCGATTATTCACAATTAATCATGAACAATTGATGGATTTCAAGAATATTCACGGCACGACCACTATCGATAGAGAAAGATTTGAAAATTTTTATCAATGAAAAAAATAATAAAGAAAAAATTTTTGTTTGAAATACGAATACAATATTTGATCGAATGATATATCTTTTATTTCATTTATTAGTATATAGTTTTCAATCATTTATGATAGAATTTTTTTAATGAAAAAAAAAAACAGAAATAGTATCTGATAACAAATTTTGTGTCTTTTTTGAAAGTTTTTATCAATATATGTGTGAGTATAAGGTGAATCAACATGATGTGATTATTGTATCAAATAATATTTTTGGAATTATAATAAACTTTAATGTCAATAAAAAGGTAATGGATGATTTTTTATGATTAGATTTATGCTTGTTTCAATGTTTCTTCAACTTCCATAACCGAACCCAATGATTGATTGAATGAAGTGTTACCAGATATTTTTTTCTCAATCTTATTTTTCGAATTCATGTCATTATTATTTTTATCACTCATTGAATGGACATCATTTTTATCGATTTTAGTCTTTTCTTGTTTATTATTAAGTTCATTTTTCGTCAAATGATTCGCTGAACAAATTGAATCCGATATGATGACCGAGGTTGTCCACTGATCATGTTCAAAGTCAAAATATTCAATTGTATTTAGGAATGCTTTGCCATTGAATCCACCGACAGCTGAAGAAAGATGATTATAGAGATGATATCATTATTTATTCAATTTGAATGACTTACCATAAAGCCGATTATCAATGACAGCAACTCCTACATTAGCACGAGCAATTGTCATTGATTTACCATAGGTCCATTGATCCTCTTCTGGATCATAGATTTCAACTGAACATAATGCATGAACACCATCATGCCCACCAACTGCAAAGATTTTACCACCAATAGCTGCAACACCACATCCACGTCTAGCAGTTTGTAATGGCGAAACAAGACGCCATTGGCCAGTATAACTTGAATACTGTTCAACACTATTCAAACATGACCATGAATCACACCCACCAACCGAATATATTGATGAATCCAATGAGCAACATGCGGTTTGATAACGACCAATATTAAGGGGTGACATATCAGACCATTGATTAGTTCGTGGATCATATTTATCACATCTAGACATTCCGCGATTACCATTCCAACCTCCAATCACATAAATTTTTCCGTTCATTGAGCATACGCCGGCATTTGACCGTGCTACCGGTGCACTATGTATTGACTTCCATTCGCCTTGAGATCCATCATAGTATTCAGCTGAATTGAGGTCATCATGTCCATCACAACCACCAATAGCATAAACACAATCATCAACAACAGCAACTGAAAATCGGCCACGTGGGACTTGCATTGGTTGCAATAGCTGCCATCGATTTTCAACCGTATCGTAAAGTTCAACAGTTTTCAAACATTCGCCGCGATCATATCCACCTATGAATTGAGTTAGAAATTGTCTGTGAATAAAAATCAATTACAAACTTACCACAGACAAGCAATTTCCCTTTGAAATTGGCTATACCAACAGCACATCTTGCCGAATTCATCGGCGGTATCAGACAATATTGTTGTGGATCATCCTGATCACATTGTACACTTTCGCTTAGACTATTCTGCTTAGATTTTGATTCTTTGATTCGTAGTGTAATTGATAATAGACAAAGTTGACCAGCGGTGATCGATACCAAGCCAACAAGCGTATGATTACCCGAACCTAATCGACAATTGGCCAATACTTTCCATTCGTGTTGATGATCATCTTGACCATCATCACTACAGTTTACACCATTGCCATCTGTTGCCGATGAACAGAGTGATGATTCTGAATCAGATCTTGTAAATAGAAATTGACGTGGTTTAGATGAAGGAATGGATGATTTGACCAGAACATTCGGTATATTATCCTGAGACAAAGATTTTCGAATCAAAGCGATCCGTTTGTTCAATTTTTTATAATCTTCGATCATCTCCGATTCGTCCGGAGAATTCGATTCAATTTGACAACAGTCTTGAATTTCATTTTTTGTCTTATCATAATGCAACATTAGCATTGTATTTCGATCTTTGAAACGGTCCAAATCGAGTACATCATGTTCGAATGAGCTACGAATCCATTCTAAAACTTCATTAAGCATGTGACGATCATTGATGGATTGTTCTTCTTGTTCTGAATTCAATAAAAATTCAATTTTCATTTGTGATAATTGTGAATCGATGAAACTTGATGATTTGACAATTTTTTCGAAATGTTGCCGTATGAAAGCATCGATTGATTGCAACAGATTCGCATCGTTTAATACAGCTTTCATATTACGAATTTCCAGACAATTTTCAGTTGATAACATGGAAAGAATAATTTGACCACATTTATTAGCCACATTGGTCATTTTCAATCGTGAAGCTATAGAATAAATTTCTCGTACTTTTGATTCGGGAATTTTCAACGTAGCCGTATAGGCATAATCGATGATCAAATCAAATGCTTCAGGATCGGATTCAAAATTTGTAGCGGAAACTAAACGAAATTGTTGCGGTGCATTTAAAGTATTGGTCAATTGTAATGAACCATTCATGTTGCAGTTATTAGTGATGTTGGGTTGATATTCATGATTCATAAACATCTCGAATAAATAAGTACTCGAACTAGACAATACAACTTTATGAGCATAAATTTCATGAATATCCTGATGATTTGTTCCAATCTGTTGAAATGAAAATAAACACATTATTATTCAACATATTTAAACAAACAAATCTATATTTATTACCTGTAGAATGACATCACAAAATTGTTGATTCTTGCGTAACATGTTTAGATTTTCCAACATGGCCGAACGATATTGATAATCATGGAATAGATGAATTTTTCTGCCTTTATTATCTTTAACCATTGTTTGAACATCGTCACAATCCATTGCTGCCATTTTTTTTCTTCTTCAATTTTGTTACTGAAAATTTAAACGTAGTAAAAAGGTAAATTTTCCATATAAAAAAACATTTTCAAATAAACGGAATGTCAAATGATGATGATGATGATTGTTTTGCCAACATGATCATAATTTAATCCGAGGGTTTTTTCCTTTCAGTCTGTCTATATTTAAGTTTATCGATAGCAAACAAAATTAAAACAGAAAAAAATATCAGAAATCAATGACCCAAACATTGATAATTAACGTACAGATACAGGAAATAACAGTCTATCATCATACGATTCCACTTACCCAGTGCGAAGATAATTTTATTTTGAGAGAAAAATAATTCAATTAATATATTTGATAATTGTATAAAAAGTGTAGATTTTAAAAATGATGATAATAAATCAATTATGTTTAATCCGATTCGGGCACATTCAATATTGATGTTTGTTTTGTTGTGTTAAAAAATCGAAAGCTCAATTATTGTAAAAGTTTCACGTTTTTTTTTCTTGTTATCATCTTCTTTTCATTTAGATTTTAATTTTTTAAATTGGTAAAACAAAGGTGTCGAATGAATTAAAATTCATATATTCATTCATACAGAAAACACGCGTACAAGAAAAAAAAATTGAAACAAATGGCAAACACGAGAAAAGAATAATGATGATGACTTGTTTTAGTTGAACAAAAATCAAACAAATGACAGATGAACAAAAAAATAAAAATACAAGAATTATTGAAGATTTAAAATACAGACAAGAATGATATTATTTTAAAAAAGAATTAGATCAAGGATGACAATGATTCTATTCAAGTTCGGTTGACTATTTTTTTTTCACTAATAACAGAAAACAAATTTCATATATCTGTCACCATTCTTACTAATCCTATACTTATTACTATAATGAATGATCACAAAAACAAATAAACCAACGAAAACAAAACAAACAAATATAATGACATCGATTAAAATCACATGAACATTTTCAAATCAAAAGTAAATATCATGACTTGGCTATTATGAAAAAAAAACATTTGATGATTTTAATTATATTTCTTTTTCATTTTATAAATATGAGCTACAAGCTTATAATATTGACGATGATGAAATGTATATGAAATTAATATCATCGATTTCGCCATACAGGGTAAATAGAATTCAATCGAACAAATATTCGATTTTCTATATTTATTAATGTAGTTGTTGTTGTTGTTATTGAATTAATTGAATTTTGATTGCTTAATTTATAGTTGATTATTTCCTGCCATACAAATGTATCATGTTGGTTTTTATTTTGTTTATTTTTTTCGTTGTTCATTTCAAGGTTTTTTGCTTCTTGTCGTTGTCGTATTGTTGTTGTTGATGGTTGTGGTGGTAGCTATCATGATAGCTTTGTTTGTAATATTTAAAACTATTTAAAACGTTGTTATTGTTGATTGTTGTCATCGAACGTCGTCGACGTGATGGTCGAAATGTTGTAAACATACTTTTATGCGTATTTATTATTTATTTTTGTCTGATTCTTTTTTTGTTTTGTAACAAATAATGTAAATCTAAAAACATAAAGAATTTACGATATGAACAAAAAACAAGACAACAACAACAAATGCAATAGAATGGAAACAGAATAATGACAAGGTTTTTTTTCTACAACATTGCGAAAATATTGTTGTTATTGTTGTTTTTTGTTTCGAATTCTTGATATGTTGGCTGTTGTTGTTGATGATGGTAGTAGTTATTATTATCATCGACAATGTGGTTTGTTACTAGCGAAGGTAGTAATTTGACCCTCGAATCTTTTTTCTATATGAATTTTTCTGCTTTCAGATATTCAATGTTGAGGATAAAAGGGGAAAATTTCAAGAGAAGAAATGCAATATAGCAATGAGAATATTCTATATCACTGTCCGATTCTGATATTTCTATATATAAGAATGGTGAAGATTAAATAATTTTGTTATATAGAAAAACGTGGAGTTAATATTACTTTCGTTGTCTTAGTGATGATAGATTCTTCAATGATTTTGTTCATCATCATCATCATTATCATGGATCTCTTATTTTCTTGCAACATTATTTCATTTGTAATCTTATTCTCTTTTCAAATATAATGCGCACGCATAAACAAGTTAAAATTTCGAACAAAAACATGCTGCCGGTATCCTTGATTAGTACAATTATGGTGTTTGCCCATAACCATAATAATTATTTTTTCTTTTTAAAAAAGATTGGATTTATTTCTCTTATTACTCATTTCGTAATGCTTCACATGATGATGATGATAAGGAATTTCTAAGAATAGCCCTTTATGCCATCATAGTTTATCACTTGTCGAATCTTGTTTGTTTCTGTATTTCAACAGTAACAACAAAAAAAAAAGAGTTGCTCGATAGTGAATGATCACTGTTCACGTTATTATTCTTAGAACCTGACCATTCCGGTTGAACTGGTTTTTATAATTTTTATAATATCTTCTTTTCATTTCATACTACGAAATTGAAAATTTTTATCCGATTAATATGAGAATATTAATTCATTATTTGCAAAAAAAAAAGAAAAACATCTAGTCTATTTGGATCCAGAATTCTGAGAAAGTAATAAAATAATACTTTTTATTGCATCATTTGATAAATTAAATGAAAATGTTATGTAAACAAAAAGAAACAAATAAATAATAAAAATTTGATTAAACTACTGTACAGAATAAAAACTTGTGTTACATAGAAATTATTATGATTGACATAAGTTTTTGGAATTTTTTTTTTGGCCACAAATTGATTATGTCAAATTTTTCTACCTTGAATTATTATCGGTTTCAATTTAGATAACAATCACATTTAACAATGTTTGATGACAATCTGTCAATCATAATCAGAAATTGTTTTTTTTCCTGAAAGAAACTGCAATGTTTTTATCATCGAATGTCAATACCTGATTTTGTCTTTTGTGTTTAAAAATGCAGACTATTTTCATAGTAATTATCATTATTTGATTGGATTTCTTTTTTTGTTGTTGCTAATCACTTCAAAGGAAAGAAAAAGAAAGTTTAAAGGAACACATAAAAAATCATACAATAGTTGACAATCTTAAAAAGATTTAGATAATATTATCATTATCATTTGATGATGATGACATTAAAAATTTTTGTTTTAACCTGATATTTTCAAAAACTGTGTAATATTTTTCTGTATAAAATGAATGATAAAAATGATGTCCAATCATCATTGCCCCCTTGGTTTTATGAATTACGACAACAACAGAATTTGACCAAATTATCGTCAATTATTCAAAACAATTTAAATGATGATGATGATAATGATATTCATTATTCATCCATAATGATTGATAAAAATGGTATGTGTAAACGATAAAAATTCATGAAAAATTTTTTTTTTTTGTTCAATATTAATCGATTGTTGTTGATTATCAATCAAATCGATCAATATATTTAAATAAATCAATTATCTATTATGGTTTGAATAGAATGAATAAAGGTGGAGTGAAAAGATGATTCAGAATTTTTATTTGTCTTTCTCTCTCTCTCATTCAAAATATTGGCCACTATCGATCAATATGTTCAATTGAGCATGAAAAGGTCAATCGATTTATCGTTTAGGTGAAAAACATTATCATTTTTTTTTTGAATATAAACAAAATCGAACTAAACACATAAAACAAAAGAATCTTTAATTTGAATGTTCCTTATAGCGTAAAATTGATGAATCAAAATTTGAGAAGAAATAATGTTGTCAATATTTTAAATGAATCGATGATTATTATTATTTTTGAAAAAAAATCGATTAAAACGAGGAAGACAATGATTTTCTTTTATTTTTTTCATATATTCTTCCCTAACTTTTCCTATCTTTCTATCTTCTTAGAACCTGATATCAAACCTGTTCATCAATATGGCCACAATGAACAACAATCGACAACAAAATCAATGATAATCAATGCCAATATTGATCAAAATCAAGATCGAACGACAGAATCAATGAATAATAATAATGTGTATGATAAAAACTTATCGATCCGTGTTGATGATGATAATGATAATCCTGATAAGTATGATGAAAATCAGAAAATTTCATCAACAACCAAATTACAACATTTAAATTTATGGTAATCAGAAGTGAATGAATGAATAAAAGAAAAACAATGTTTCTCTTTTTAATACATTTCACACACACAAACACCAATTACCCACCTGTCAACAATGACATTGGTAATAGATATTTTCCGGCTACATTTCCTATGATAGTATATATAAAAAAAATACAGATGACAAATTGAAATTATATTTTCATATAAATTTTTTTAAAGTTTAAAAATATAATTTTAAATGTTTTGTCCTTGTTGGTTGGCAAGTAATAGATTTTTTATTTCTTTTATGAATGTATAAACTGAATTCATTTTTTTGAATAATGGTAGCTTCATTCATTCAGATATATGTCATTCATTTCCTTTATTTTATGTTTTTCAGAAAAAAGAATACTGAATGAATAAAATGGATAGACAAAGTTATTAACATTAGAATAGAATGATGAATCACTGATGCAGTAAAGGTTAATAATTTAAAATTGTCAGATAGATAGCCTCTAGATATTATATATTGTCGAATGAATTTTGACATAAAAATTCGGAATAATTTATAAATTCTATGTCAATGTAAATGGATGAATGATTTTTATGAAAATTCTCATTTTTTTCATATTTCATTATTACCGGCTAGATTCTTTTGAATGTAAATCAATTATTTTGGTTTTTTAATTTTTTTTTTCTTTAGCAATCAAGATAAAAAATTTCATCAATATTCAAATGATAATGAAATGGAAATTAAACAATCATCAAAAACAATGGAAAAAGTATTTTCGAACAAAAATGATTGTCCACTAACATTGTCCATAGACATTAACAATGAACAATGTGAATCAGTAATATTATCACCATCGTTGTTGAATGAAAATCGACGGAAATTTATTCAGAATTTATTACAAGAACAGCAACAGGAGCCACAACAAAATAGTAGTAGCAACGTGAATAGTTATGATGAAAATTTTTCGAAAAATGATCCAAAGTTATCAACAAATGCATTGAACCATTACGATGAA